TTCACCCAGAGCTCACTGCTTCACCCAGAGCTCTCTGCTTCACCCAGAGCTCTCTGCTTCACCCAGAGCTCACTGCTTCACCCAGAGCTCTCTGCTTCACCCAGAGCTCTCTGCTTCACCCAGAGCTCACTGCTTCGCCCAGAGCTCTCTGCTTCACCCAGAGGGCTCTGCTTCACCCAGAGCTCACTGCTTCACCCAGAGCTCTCTGCTTCACCCAGAGCTCACTGCTTCACCCAGAGCTCTCTGCTTCACCCAGAGCTCTCTGCTTCACCCAGAGCTCACTGCTTCGCCCAGAGCTCTCTGCTTCACCCAGAGGGCTCTGCTTCACCCAGAGCTCACTGCTTCACCCAGAGCTCTCTGCTTCACCCAGAGCTCACTGCTTCACCCAGAGCTCTCTGCTTCACCCAGAGCTCTCTGCTTCACCCAGAGCTCACTGCTTCACCCAGAGCTCACTGCTTCACCCAGAGCTCACTGCTTCACCCAGAGCTCACTGCTTCACCCAGAGCTCACTGCTTCACCCAGAGCTCACTGCTTCACCCAGAGCTCTCTGCTTCACCCAGAGCTCACTGCTTCACCCAGAGCTCACTGCTTCACCCAGAGCTCACTGCTTCACCCAGAGCTCACTGCTTCACCCAGAGCTCTCTGCTTCACCCAGAGCTCACTGCTTCACCCAGAGCTCACTGCTTCACCCAGAGCTCACTGCTTCACCCAGAGCTCACTGCTTCACCCAGAGCTCACTGCTTCACCCAGAGCTCTCTGCTTCACCCAGAGCTCACTGCTTCACCCAGAGCTCACTGCTTCACCCAGAGCTCACTGCTTCACCCAGAGCTCACTGCTTCACCCAGAGCTCACGGCTTCACCCAGAGCTCACTGCTTCACCCAGAGCTCTCTGCTTCACCCAGAGCTCACTGCTTCACCCAGAGCTCACTGCTTCACCCAGAGCTCTCTGCTTCACCCAGAGCTCACTGCTTCACCCAGAGCTCACTGCTTCACCCAGAGCTCACTGCTTCACCCAGAGCTCTCTGCTTCACCCAGAGCTCACTGCTTCACCCAGAGCTCACTGCTTCACCCAGAGCTCTCTGCTTCACCCAGAGCTCTCTGCTTCACCCAGAGAAGACGCAGACAGACAAAGAGAGAGACAGAGACAGAGAGAGAGAGATCGTCATTGTAAAAGTCTCCAGCTCCTTCCCTCCACCTCCACTCCCATCCCCGATGTGGAGGGGGGGGGGGGGGAGTGGTGGAGGAGGAGGAGGGACGGAGGCAAGAATGGAAACGGTTTCGAGGTCGCGGGTACAAAACAACACGAAAAGGGGAAAGCCGCTAACGCATCGACGGAGAAGCCTCCCCACGGAAGCGGAGGGGGCGGCTTCCACGCTCGTTTCAACACCGCTGTCATCATCATCATCATCATCGCCACAACCATCATCATCATTACCGCAATCATCATCACCGCCGTCATAGCCAGCATCATTACCGCCTCCCTCATCATCGCCGAAATCATCGCTGCCACCATCATCATCGCCGCAACCATCATCATCGCCGCGATCATCATCATCATTGTGTGCGTTAGTGTGTAAGAGTTGTTAGTGTGTAAGAGTTGTGTGTGTTGGTGTGTAAGAGTTGTGTGTGTTGGTGTGTAAGAGTTGTGTGTTAGTGTGTAAGAGTTGTGTGTTAGTGTGTAAGAGTTGTGTGTGTTAGTGTGTAAGAGTTGTGTAAGAGTTGTGTGTTAGTGTGTAAGAGTTGTGTGTTAGTGTGTAAGAGTTGTGTGTGTTGGTGTGTAAGAGTTGTGTGTGTAAGAGTTGTGTGTTAGTGTGTAAGAGTTGTGTGTGTTAGTGTGTTAGTGTGTAAGAGTTGTGTGTGTAAGAGTTGTGTGTGTTAGTGTGTAACAGCTGTGTAAGAGTTGTGTGTGTAAGAGTTGTGTGTGTTAGTGTGTTAGTGTGTAAGAGTTGTGTGTGTAAGAGTTGTGTGTGTTAGTGTGTTAGTGTGCAAGAGTTGTGTGTTAGTGTGTAAGAGCTGTGTAAGAGTCGTGTGTGTTGGTGTGTAAGAGCTGAGTGCATCTGCGGCGAGCGCTCTTAACGGCTCGGACGCTCACTGCCGATGAGAGGCTGCCGCCGCTCTGTCGGGAGCCAGACCGGTGCCGCCTGGACCTTTGTGGAGTCCAGCGGCAGGCCTGGTCCACTGGCTCCGGTGCTTCTGCGTACAGAGGCTGCCATTTCAGTGACCCGCTACCACCTCCGCCGTCACCGCCGCCGCCGCCGCTCTAGAGGCAGCGGCAATTCGACAGGCGTGGGCGACCAAGGGACACGGGAGTGTCCCTTGGACCCCCGCATCCAACCCGCAACTACTACCACTACGCCCGCCACCGCAGCCATTAACCTCCTTCGCCCTCAAAGCGACCGGCCGACTTTCTCACAAAAGCTTGGGCAACAACGTCTCCCGGGGTTGGTGCGTCGTGAGTTTGCCACGCCCACCGTAACCCTCACCCAACTGCATCATCATCGTCGTCGATATATATATATCCCACAGTCGCTCCGCAGTGAACAGTCACCTCTCCCACCCACCCACCCACCACCCCCCGCTCCAGACATCACAATCTCCAGTCTAGGGAGATGTCAACCCATCACCCCCATCCTCACCCCCGTCCTCACCCTCACCGCCTTACCCTCCCATCCTCACCCTGACCACCCCCCCCCCCCCCCAATGTCACCCCCCACTCACCCTCACTTCAAACCATCACCCCCCATCCTCACCCCCGTCCTCACCCTCACCTAAAGTTCGGTACCACTCAGCCTCAAAGGAATGCCCGAGCCAAAAGTGGGGTAACCTCACCCCTCCCCCCAACCTTCCCCCACCCCCCAACCTTCCTCCACCCCTCACTCCCTCCCCCAGGTCAACGCAGCCTGAAATCAGCTGTGCAGAATGCCCCCCCCGCCCACCCACCCCCCCCACCCCCGCCCCGAGCGAGTGTTTGGGCGAGTGAGTAGGTGAGCGGGTGAGTGAGCCGGCGATTGAGTGGGTGAGTGATTGAGCGAGCGGGTGGGTGGGTGATAGAGTGGGTCAGCGGGTGGGTGGGTGAGTGGGTGGGTGATAGAGTGGGTCAGCGGGTGGGTGGGTGAGTGGGTGGGTGATAGAGTGAGCGGGCGAGTGAGTGGGTGAGCGAACGGGTGAGCGAGTGAGTGGTTGAGTAGATAATCATGTGAGTGAGTGGGTGATAGAGTGGGTGATAGAGTGAGCGGGTGAGCGAATGGGTGAGCGAACGGGTGAGCGAGTGAGTGGGCGAGTAGATAATCGTGTGAGTGAGTGGGTGATAGAGTGAGCGGGTGAGCGAGTGGGTGAGTGAACGGGTGAGCGAACGGGTGAGCGAATGGGTGAGCGAGTGAGTGGGTGAGTAGATAATCGCGTGAGTGAGTGGGTAAGCGAGCGAGTGGGTCAGTGGGTGAGCGAGCGAGCGAGTGGGTGAGCGAACGGGTGAGCGAACGGGTGAGCGAACGGGTGAGCGAATGGGTGAGCGAGTGAGTAGATAATCGTGTGAGTGAGTGGGTGATAGAGTGAGCGAGTGGGTAAGCGAGCGAGTGGGTCAGTGGGTGAGCGAGCGAGTGGGTGAGCGAACAGGTGAGCGAATGAGCGAGCGAGTCGGTTGCGAGGGGCGAGTGTGCGAATGCGTGAGCGAGTGAGCGGGTGAGCGAGTGAGCGGATGAGGGGGTGAGCGAGTGAGCGAATGGCTGAGTGAGTGGGTGAGTGAGTGAGCGGGTGAGCGAATGGCTGAGTGAGTGGGTGAGCGAGTGAGCGGGTGAGCGGGTGAGGGGGTGAGCGAGCGAGTGGCTGAGCGAGTGGGTGAATGAGTGGGTGAGTGAGCGGGTGAGTGAGCGGGTGAGCGAGTGAGCGAGTGAGCGGGTGAGGGGGTGAGCGGGTGAGGGGGTGAGCGAATGGCTGAGTGAGTGGGTGAGCGAGTGAGCGGGTGAGCGAGCGAGTGGCTGAGCGAGTGGGTGAGTGAGTGGGTGAGTGAGCGGGTGAGTGAGTGAACGGGTGAGCGAGTGGGTGAGCGAGTGGGTGAGTGAGCGAGTGTGCGAGTGGCTGAGTGAGCGGGTGAGCGAGTGGCTGAGTGAGTGGCTGAGCGAGTGGCTGAGCGAGTGGGTGAGCGAGTGGGTGAGCGAGTGAGTGAGTGAGTGGCTGAGTGAGTGGCTGAGTGAGTGGCTGAGCGAGTAAGTGAGTGGCTGAGTGAGTGGCTGAGTGAGTGGCTGAGCGAGTGGCTGAGCGAGTGGCTGAGTGAGTGAGTGAGTGGCTGAGTGAGTGGCTGAGTGAGCGAGTGGCTGAGTGAGTGGCTGAGCGAGTGGCTGAGTGAGTGAGTGGCTGAGCGAGTGGCTGAGTGAGTGGCTGAGTGAGTGGCTGAGCGAGTAAGTGAGTGGCTGAGTGAGTGGCTGAGTGAGTGGCTGAGCGAGTGGCTGAGCGAGTGGCTGAGTGAGTGGCTGAGTGAGTGAGTGAGTGGCTGAGTGAGTGAGTGGCTGAGTGAGTGGCTGAGCGAGTGGCTGAGTGAGTGGCTGAGTGAGTGGCTGAGTGAGTGGCTGAGTGAGTGGCTGAGTGAGTGGCTGAGTGAGTGGCTGAGTGAGTGAGTGGCTGAGTGAGTGGCTGAGTGAGTGGCTGAGTGAGTGGGTGAGTGAGTGGACGAGCGAGTGGCTGAGTGAGTGGCTGAGTGAGTGAGTGGCTGAGTGAGTGGCTGAGTGAGTGGGTGAGTGAGTGGACGAGCGAGTGGCTTAGCGAGTGGCTGAGTGAGTGAGTGGCTGAGTGAGTGGCTGAGTGAGTGGCTGAGTGAGTGGACGAGCGAGTGGCTGAGTGAGTGGCTGAGTGAGTGGGTGAGTGAGTGGCTGAGCGAGTGGGTGAGTGAATGGGTGAGTGAGTGGCTGAGTGAGTGGGTGAGTGAGTGGCTGAGTGAGTGGGTGAGTGAGTGGCTGAGCGAGTGGCTGAGTGAGTGGCTGAGTGAGTCAGTTGCTAGGTGCGAGGGGTTCACGATGGCCACGCCCCCTCCCCCAATCCCCCCTCCCCCAATCCCCCGTTGCCCCCTCCCCCTACTGCTCGTGGAGCTGCTCCCGGTCCCCCTCCGTCTTGGCCCCCACCCCGGGGGAGGGGGTGAGGGGGTGTGGGGGGGGCGGGGGGGAGGGGTTGTGGGGGCGCGTGGGGGGTGGTGGGGGCGTGGCCGAGTGAAGCAACGCCCCCCACGGGTGGCAGCAGCGAATCGGCGGCCACCGTGGACAGGGGGAGGCCACCCACAACGCTCGCCAGCACGGACGGGGGGAAGCTGGTGGGGGGGAGGGGGGGGGAGTGGGGGGAGGGGGGGGGGAGTGGGGGGAGGAGTGGGGGGAAAGTGGGGGTGAGAGTGGGGGGAGAGTGGGGGAGGGTGAGAGTGGGGGGGGTGAGAGTGGTGGGGGGGGTGAGAGTGGTGGGGGGGTGAGAGTGGTGGGGGGGGTGAGAGTGGTGGGGGGGTGAGAGTGGTGGGGGGGTGAGAGTGGTGGGGGGGGTGAGAGTGGTGGGGGGGTGAGAGTGGTGGGGGGGTGAGAGTGGGGGGGTGAGAGTGGTGGGGGGGGTGAGAGTGGTGGGGGTGAGAGTGGTGGGGGGGGGAGAGAGTGGGGGGGTGAGAGTGGTGGGGGGGAGAGAGTGGTGGGGGGGTGAGAGTGGTGGGGGGGTGAGAGTGGTGGGGGGGTGAGAGTGGTGGGGGGGAGAGAGTGGTGGGGGGAGAGTGGTGGGGGGGTGAGAGTGGTGGGGGGGTGAGAGTGGTGGGGGGGTGAGAGTGGTGGGGGGGTGAGAGTGGTGGGGGGAGAGAGTGGGGGGAGAGAATGGTGGGGGGGTGAGAGTGGTGGGGGGGTGAGAGTGGTGGGGGGGAGAGAGTGGTGGGGGGGAGAGTGGTGGGGGGGAGAGAGTGGTGGGGGGGGAGAGAGTGGTGGGGGGGAGAGTGGTGGGGGGGTGAGAGAGTGGTGGGGGGGTGAGAGTGGTGGGGGGGTGAGAGTGGTGGGGGGGAGAGAGTGGTGGGGGGTGAGAGTGGTGGGGGGAGAGAGTGGGGGGGAGTGGAGTCACAACCACGTTCTGTATGCCCACCACACGCTGCTGTCCACATCTTCAGAGAGCCCCGTCAGACCTGCAGAGTGAATTCCTTCCTCGTCCTGACTCTCACAGAGGGGCGTCACGGTGGCCAGGAGATGTTGACTCCCTCCCCTGGTCGACAGGAGGTGCTCGTGGGTCAACTACTGGCGAGGTTTATGCTTGGCTCTTTGGGTAAAGTCACCACCACGTTAGAAGGGAAACAATAAAATAATAAAAATATTAAACAATAAAATTAATGTAAAACAATAAAATTATTATTCTTGGTTCTTTGGGTAAAGTCACCACCACGTTAGAAGGGAAACAATAAAATAATAAAAATATTAAACAATAAAATTATTGTAAAACAATAAAATTATTATTCTTGGCTCTTTGGGTAAAGTCACCGCCACGTTAGAAGGGAAACAATAAAATAATAAAAATATAAAACAATAAAATTATTATTCTTGGCTCTTTGGGTAAAGTCACCACCACGTTAGAAGGGAAACAATAAAATAATAAAAATATAAAACAATAAAATTATTATTCTTGGTTCTTTGGGTAAAGTCACCACCACGTTAGAAGGGAAACAATAAAATAATAAAAATATAAAACAATAAAATTATTATTCTTGGTTCTTTGGGTAAAGTCACCACCACGTTAGAAGGGAAACAATAAAATAATAAAAATATAAAACAATTAAATTATTGTAAAACAATAAAATTATTATTCTTGGCTCTTTGGGTAAAGTCACCACCACGTTAGAAGGGAAACAATAAAATAATAAAAATATAAAACAATTAAATTATTATTCTTGGTTCTTTCGGTAAAGTCACCACCACGTTAGAAGGGAAACAATAAAATAATAAAAATATAAAACAATAAAATTATCACGACGTTTCGACTGGTGTGATGATGATTGCTTCTTGTGTTGCAGTCAAAACATCGTGAGAATTTTATTGTTTTATATTTTTATTATTTTATTGTTTCCCTTCTACGTGGTGGTGACTTTACCGAAAGAACCAAGAATAATAATTGTATTACTGGCGAGGTAGTCAACATCTCTTAGTCACTGTGACTCACCCACTCATTCACCCACCCACTCACCCACCCACCCACCCACCCACCCACCCACTCACTCACCCACCCACCCACTCACCCACCCACCCACTCACCCACTCACTCACTCACTCACCCACCCACTCACCCACCCACTCACCCACCCACCCACCCACTCACCCACCCACCCACCCACCCACTCACCCACCCACCCACCCACTCACCCACCCACCCACCCACCCACCCACCCACTCACCCACCCACCCACTCACCCACCCACCCACCCACTCACCCACCCACTCACCCACCCACCCACTCACCCACCCACCCACTCACCCACCCACCCACTCACCCACCCACCCACCCACCCACCCACCCACCCACTCACCCACCCACTCACCCACCCACCCACCCACTCACCCACCCACTCACCCACTCACCCACCCACTCACCCACCCACCCACCCACCCACTCACCCACTCACCCACCCACCCACCCACTCACCCACTCACCCACCCACTCACCCACTCACCCACTCACTCACCCACTCACTCACCCACCCACCCACTCACCCACCCACCCACCCACTCACTCACTCACCCACCCACTCACTCACTCACCCACCCACCCACCCACTCACCCACCCACCCACTCACCCACCCACCCACTCACCCACCCACCCACCCACTCACCCACCCACTCACCCACCCACCCACCCACTCACTCACTCACCCACCCACCCACCCACTCACCCACCCACCCACCCACTCACCCACCCACTCACCTACTTACTCATTCACCCACCCACTCATTCACCCACCCACCCACTCATTCACCCACCCACCCACTCATTCACCCACCCACCGACTCACCCACCCACCCACTCACCCACCCACCTACTTACTCATTCACCCACCCACCCACTCATTCACCCACCCACCCACTCACCCACCCACCCACTCACCCACCCACTCACCCACCCACATACTTACTCATTCACCCACCCACTCATTCACCCACCCACCCACTCACTCACCCACCCATCCACTCACTCACCTACTCACCTCACCGACTTACTCACCCACCCACCCACCCACTCACCCACCCACCCACTCATTCACCCACCCACCCACTCATTCACCCACCCACCCACTCATTCACCCACCCACCCACACACCCACTCACCCACCCACCCACTCACCCACCCACTCACTCACTCACTCACCCACTCACCCACTCACTCACTCACCCACTCACTCACCCACCCACTCACTCACTCACCCACCCACCCACTCATTAATTAACCCACTCACCCACCCACCGGTAAAGGGTCCCGTTGAGCTCCTGATGGATGGTGTCAAGGCTGGCCCAGCGATGTGGTGGTGGTGGTGGTGGTGCAGTGGTGGTGGCGGTGGTGGTGGTGGTGGCGATGCTGAGGAACAGCTCCTTGTTCACGCAGTTCTTGAGGCTGTCCGGCACGCGGCCTGGCACGGACAGCACGCACACACAGCACGCACACATACACAGTATACACACACAGTGTATATACACATCATATATACACACACATACACAGCATATATACACACAGTGTATATACACATCATATATACACACACACACATACACAGTATACACACACAGTGTATATACACACACACATACACAGTATACACACAGTGTATATACACATCATATATACACACACATACACAGTATATACACACACAGTGTATATACACACACATACACAGTATACACACACAGTGTATATACACATCATATATACACACACACATACACAGTATACACACACCGTGTATATACACATCATATATACACACACATACACAGTATACACACACAGTGTATATACACATCATATATACACACACACATACACAGTATATATACACACAGTGTATATACACACACACATACACAGTATACACACACAGTGTATATACACACAGTGTATATACACACACACATACACAGTATACACACAGTGTATATACACATCATATATACACACACATACACAGTATATACACACTCACAGTGTATATACACACACACATACACAGTATACACACACAGTGTATATACACATCATATATACACACATACACAGTATACACACACAGTGTATATACACATCATATATACACACACACATACACAGTATATACACACAGTGTATATACACATCATATATACACAAACACATACACAGTATATATATACACACAGTGTATATACACAAACACATACACAGTATATACACACACAGTGTATTTACACATTATATATACACACACATACACAGCACGCACACAGTATATATGCACAAACATACACACACATACACAGTATATACACACACAGCACACACACAGTATATATATATACAAGCATACACACACACAGCACATACACACACAGTATACATATACATACACACAGTATATACACACAAACACACATATACACACACACAGCATGCACACAGCACACACACACAGTATACATATACATACACACAGTGTATATACACAAACACACATACACAGTATATATACACACACACACACTCGAGATCCTTCTAGAAGGAGCTGGACGTGGAAGGTGGGCGGGGCTGAGGGGCGGTCACATGGTCTAAAGGAGCATCTCTGGATCCTTCTAGAAGGAGCTCGGCCTGGAAGGTGGGCGGGGCTGAGGGGCGGTCACATGGTCTAAAGGAGCATCTCTGGATCCTTCTAGAAGGAGCTCGACGTGGAAGGTGGGCGGGGCTGAGGGGCGGTCACATGGTCTAAAGGAGCTCTCTGGATCCTTCTAGAAGGAGCTTGGCCTGGAAGGTGGGCGGGGCTGAGGGGCGGTCACATGGTCTAAAGGAGCATCTCTGGATCCTTCTAGAAGGAGCTCGACGTGGAAGGTGGGCGGGGCTGAGGGGCGGTCACATGGTCTAAAGGAGCATCTCTGGATCCTTCTAGAAGGAGCTCGACCTGGAAGGTGGGCGGGGCTGAGGGGCGGTCACATGGTCTAAAGGAGCTCTCTGGATCCTTCTAGAAGGAGCACGACCTGGAAGGTGGGCGGGGCTGAGGGGCGGTCACATGGTCTAAAGGAGCATCTCTGGATCCTTCTAGAAGGAGCTCGACGTGGAAGGTGGGCGGGGCTGAGGGGCGGTCACATGGTCTAAAGGAGCATCTCTAGATCCTTCTAGAAGGAGCTCGAGGTGGAAGGTGGGCGGGGCTGAGGGGCGGTCACATGGTCTAAAGGAGCATCTCTGGATCCTTCTAGAAGGAGCTCGACCTGGAAGGTGGGCGGGGCTGAGGGGCGGTCACATGGTCTAAAGGAGCTCTCTGGATCCTTCTAGAAGGAGCTGGACGTGGAAGCTGGGCGGGGCTGAGGAGCGGTCACATGGTCTAAAGGAGCATCTCTAGATCCTTCTAGAAGGAGCTCGACCTGGAAGGTGGGCGGGGCTGAGGGGCGGTCACATGGTCTAAAGGAGCTCTCTGGATCCTTCTAGAAGGAGCTCGACGTGGAAGGTGGGCGGGGCTGAGGGGCAGTCACATGGTCTAAAGGAGCTCTCTGGATCCTTCTAGAAGGAGCTCGAGAGACCTGGAAGGTGGGCGGGGCTGAGGGGCGGTCACATGGTGTAAAGGAGCTCTCTGGATCCTTCTAGAAGGAGCTCGACGTGGAAGGTGGGCGGGGCTGAGGGGCGGTCACATGGTCTAAAGGAGCTCTCTGGATCCTTCTAGAAGGAGCTTGATGTGGAAGGTGGGCGGGGCTGAGGGGCGGTCACATGGTCTAAAGGAGCTCTCTGGATCCTTCTAGAAGGAGCTCGAGAGACCTGGAAGGTGGGCGGGGCTGAGGGGCGGTCACATGGTGTAAAGGAGCTCTCTGGATCCTTCTAGAAGGACCTCGACGTGGAAGGTGGGCGGGGCTGAGGGGCGGTCACATGGTCTAAAGGAGCTCTCTGGATCCTTCTAGTAGGACAGGGGTCGGGAACCTATGGCTCGCGAGCCAGATGTGGCTCTTTTGATGATTGCATATGGCTCGCAGATAAAACAAAATATTCTCACTTGTTTTAATCCATCCATCGATTTTTCACTGCGCATGTCCTGTTCAGGGCTGCAGGAGCAATTGTCCATTATTTTAATTGGATGATACTGGCCTACGTTTGCCGTTGCTGGGTAAAACAGGTAAACGCCCCCTTTTGAATCAGTCTGAGACTGCGTCTGCTCGGTCATTAGCTCAAAGCTAACCCTTCGACGAAGAAGATGGCGAAAAGAAAAAAAGACGACGAGTATCGTACATTTCAGGACGAATGGACCGAAGAATTCGCCTTTGTGGAGAGAGCGGGTTCTGCGGTGTGTCTAATTTGCAATGACAAAATTACATCGTTGAAACGGTCGAATGTAAAGCGGCACTTCGACACGCGCCACGCTACCTTTGCATCAAAATACCCTGCGGGAGACAGCAGAAAGAAAGCGTGCCAAGAGCTGAGCAGGGTGCAAGCTAGCCAGCAGCAACTCCGCGTATGGACCCGGCAAGGTGACTATAATTCGGCTAGCTTTGCTGGTTCTTTAGCAATAGTGAGGAACGGAAAACCATTCACAGATGGCGAGTATGCTAAAACGTTCATGCTGGATGTAGCCAATGAACTTTTTGATGATCTTCCGAACAAAGACAAGATAATCAAACGGATACAAGACATGCCTCTGTCGGCAAGAACTGTTCATGATCGTACCATCGTGATGGCAAACAAAGTGGAGGAAACGCAAGTGAAGGACATAAATGCAGCGCCGTTCTTTTCTCTGGCTTTGGATGAGTCAACAGACGTGAGCCATTTGTCGCAGTTCAGCGTGATTGCAAGATATGCTGTTGGTGACACACTGCGCGAAGAAAGTCTTGCTGTTCTGCCATTAAAAGGGTCCACAAGAGGTGAGGATGTATTCAAGTCTTTCATGGAGTTTGCTCAAGAAAAAAGTCTACCTATGGATAAACTTCTCTCAGTGTGTACTGATGGTGCTCCGTGTATGGTGGGGAAAAACAAAGCATTTGTGGCGCTTCTCCGTGAACATGAAAATAGACCCATCCTAAGTTTCCATTGCATCATACACCAGGAGGCACTTTGTGCTCAGATGTGTGACAGGCAGTTTGGCGAAGTGATGTCGCTGGTCATTCGTGTGATCAACTTTATTGTTGCCCGAGCCTTAAATGATCGCCAGTTTAAAACACTGCTGGATGAAGTTGTAAATAACTATCCTGGTCTGCTTTTGCACAGCAATGTGCGTTGGTTGTCAAGAGGGAAGGTGCTTAGCCGTTTTGCGGCTTGCCTGAACGAAATCCGGACTTTCCTTGAAATGAAAGGCGTCGGGCATCCTGAGCTAGCCGACACCGAGTGGCTCCTCAAGTTTTACTATCTCGTAGATCTGACTGAACATCTGAACCAGCTCAACGTGAAAATGCAAGGCATTGGAAATACAGTGTTATCCCTTCAACAAGCTGTATTTGCTTTTGAAAACAAGCTGGAGCTTTTCATCACGGATCTTGAAACAGGTCGTTTACTACATTTTGAAAAACTGAGCCAATTTAAAGATGCATGCACAGCAAGTGAGCCCATTCAAAACCTTGATCTCCACCAGCTAGCTGGCTGCACATCCAGTCTCCTACAGTCCTTCAAAGCACGCTTTGGAGAATTTCGTGAGCACACTCGTCTTTTTAAGTTCATCACCCATCCAAACGAGTGTTCACTGAACACAGCCGACCTGAATTACATCCCTGGTGTCTCCGTCAGAGATTTTGAAGCAGAAGTGGCTGACCTGAAGGCCTCAGACATGTGGGTGAATAAGTTCAAGTCACTGAATGAAGATTTGGAAAGAATCACACGACAGAAAGCGGAGTTGGCGAGCAAGCACATGTGGACAGAAATAAAAAAACTCCAACCCGAAGACCAGCTGATTCTCAAAACTTGGAACGCGCTTCCTGTCACATACCACACACTGCAGCGTGTGAGTATTGCTGTATTGGCCATGTTTGGATCTACGTATGCATGTGAGCAGTCATTCTCACATCTTAAAAACATCAAGTCCAACCTACGATCACGTTTAACGGATGAAAGCCTCAACGCTTGCATGAAGCTTAACCTCACCAAGTACCAACCCGACTACAAAGACATCAGCAAATCCATGCAGCACCAGAAGTCGCATTAATGGTGAGTGTTATAACAACATTATTTAAAAGAATAAATTCAGAGGCTTATTATACTGACATTTAGTTGAATTCACTTTTAAAATATATTATATGGCTCTCACTGAAATAAATTTCCAAATTTTTTGCTTTCATGGCTCTCTTAGTCAAAAAGGTTCCCGACCCCTGTAGTAGGGGCTCGAGCTGGAAGGTGGGCGGGGCTGAGGGGCGGTCACATGGTCTAAAGGAGCATCTCTATATCCTTCTAGAAGGAGCTCGAGGTGGAAGG